TCCTGAACTTTCTGCATGCCAAGTTATTTGTCCATTGGGACAATTATTAGTACAGTTAGTCTTTGAGTTAACGACCAAAATTGAGCTGGGAATTACAGTCATAAGTCACCATTAAGTGGGTCACTGTGACTACCAGATTTTATGACTTTTGCATTATTGGTTATTATATGTTATTGGTTATTATATGCACCAAGACACTAATTCCTTGTGTGTCCAATCACACTTGGCCAATAAAAAATTCTATTCTATTCTATTCTATTCTATTCTATTCTATTCTATTCTATTCTATTCTATTCATTCCATTCATTCCATTCCATTCCATTCCATTCCATTCCATTCCATTCTATATTCTATTCTATTCTATTCTATTCTATTCTATTCTATTCTATTCTACTAATCTTTTTTACTGAATGGGAGGTTTTTTTGCTGGAAACCAGAAATAAATGCCAAAAACTGGCCAAAAAACCCCAGCAAAACCTCTGGGCACATGACCATGGGACACTGCAAAGGGTCAGAAATGCAAGCTTGTTGCCAAGCTCCCAAAATGCAGTTATGTGAGGGGCTCACCTGGAATTGGGTCGTAAAGTAGCTCTGTTGAGGTCTGTCATAACTTTGAATGGTCACTAAGCAAGGCTACAAAAATGCAAAACTGGCCTAAGAATATTGGGATAAATGAAACTTTGGTACAATGTAATGACGTATTTATATCCTACTGATTTCCTTAGATTCCATTTTTTAAATCCTCCTGCAGATGCAAATCCGTGGCATTATTCAACCCTATTTCCTGGGTTCTTGCAACACAACGAAGAATAAATTAACCTCACAAACTGAGTTCACACGGAAAGCTACACTACTGCTTTGGCCTTGGCCTGTGAGGCAATAAATAAAAACCAAATAAAACAGGCTACACTGTGCTACAATGGGTAGCTGATTTGCGGTCTGTATGAACACAGCTAGGCACCATTAATGAAGCATATGATGAAAACATTCTTGCCCTGAGTGGCTATTTAATGCTCGCAGGATGTGTTTGCACAAGCCGTTATGGACTGACCTATTGTATAATATCAGCTGATTTGTAAAGCAATTATGGCTTGGTGTTTTATGCAAACCATTGTGGTTAAAAAAGTTGGGTGTCTTTTGAGCTTTGCTATCAATTTCACTCAAGGTATCCACACACACACACCCAGTCTTCCTCAGTAGTCGTGAAGTCACACTTGCTCACCCACAAGAAGAAAAAGTGGGATGTGGATCCTTTGGCTGCAGACCTTCCCCAAAGTTTTGGATCTTCCTGATAGCGGAAGTATCAGCGAGCATAAATTTGTTTTGTTTTCAAATCAGTTGGCAGTCAGCAGAAGTGGCCTGCAGTACTGCATTTTAACCACTGCGCCACTGTGGCTCTTGATTATGATTGTGGGGATGCTATGATGGTTGTCGTAAGTCAGCAACAGTGCTGTTGTAATTTTGCATGGCCGCTAAGTGAATGATTTTAAGTCAAGGACAATCTAGCAAGATTTTTTAATCTATCTAAGAATTTGCTGAACAACAGACATGCAAGACTGGTTTAGATGCTATTTTAGCAGAGCCAACCGAGGTGACCTCTCGCATTTCATTTGGGGATTCTTTTGAGTTGGTGGAACTCATGGAACTGGGTCATGTTTTGGGCAATATGAGACCTACCACCTGTGGGCTGGATCCCTATCATGGGTGGCTATTTGTGGGAGTGGGGGCCAAGTAGGGCTGTGTGATTGGAATCAGGTGGTGGTATGATATGGAGCAGGTGATGCCTCCTGCCTTGAAGGTAGTAATGCACCTGCTACCAAATTTGGTGTTGTCCTGGCCTTAACAATAAAACAATAGCACCCCATAGGATCCAGAAAACACGTCTTGGCTGTTGCAATGCCTTCCTTATGAAGATGCTGCCTCCTTTATATACATATGGCCCCAACTTACTTATATTTAGGATAGGGCTAGAACAGGGGTCAGCAACCTGTGGCTCTGGAGCCACATGTGGCTCTTTCACTCCTCTGCTGCGGCTCCGTCACTCAAAATATGCGTCACAACAGCCAATGTGCGACACCCACCAGCACGCGATTTATTGAGCTTTTCAACCCCTGGTAGGCCAACCATGGATAAATCAAAGAAAAGTTTCAGAAGAAAACCTAATTTTGTGGCTGCTCAAGAAATAATCAGGCACGGGAAGGGTTTTGTGGCTCCCGGTGTTTTCTTTGGGAAACGGGTCCAAATGGCTCTTTGAGTGTTTAAGGTTGCAGACCCCTGAGCTAGAACGATCTGGCCCTTTCTACAGGTATGAGCCAGGATGCTACAAAGACTCATTACCATGTGCATTTTACCTTGTGCAGTTTATCTTGACAAAGGGCAGCTGCTTGTATTATGGTGGTTTTTTGTTCTGTGTTTTAATCATCTATGAACTGCCCAGAATTACAGCTTAGACACTGAAGAAAGACATAAATACTTCAGTATTTATGTCTTACTTCAGTAATTCCCAGCCAATTCTGCGGGTGGGGAAGAGGAGAGGGGCGGAGTGGGGTAAGGAAACAGAAGCACCATAATGTGGGCTATATCTCCCAAAAGATTTCACACCTTTGAAAAGTGACACCTCTTCCCACTCATCCTTACAAAATGAAAAGAAAAACCTTGAAAAGTTATTAAAAGGGGGATAAGATGGTTAAGGTGCTGGCCTAGAAATAAGAATATTATGAGTTCTACTCCCACTTTAGGCATGAAAGCCAGCTAGGTGACTTTGGGCCAATTACCAGGAGATGATGAGTTCTAGTTTCATCGTCGGGGGGGTGGGGAATGGCTGAGTGATCTTGGGCCAGTCATTCTCAGCCCAATCCATCTCAAAGGGTTGTTGTGGGGAAAGTAGGAGGAAAGAGAATTAGGTATCTTTGCCACTGTGAGTTACTTATAAAGTAATAAAGGTGGGTTAAAAATCTAAAAAACCCTAACACTCATCCCAATTTTCCCGAGGGTAAACTGAGGGATGTACCCGTTTATTCCAGTACCACTTCGTGCTGTCGAGAAAACGTTAGTACTACAGCGTCCTTAACCCGTTTCCTCAGATTTTCATTGATGAAATTTATACCCTGCCCACCTAACTCTTGCAAAATGACTTTGCCCTCAGTGGGCCAAACCGAGAAACATGGTTTGTAAAAGACGCGGCTCATTCGAGAAACTTCACCTGACCTGAAGGACAATGTGAAGAGATGTAGTTTCGGGTTTGGCTTTATTTATTTATTTTTATTTTTTTATTTTATTTTATTTTTGTTGAAGTCCTCCAGGCTTAAAGTTGCTGGAGAATTCTGGGAGTTGAAGTCCTCCAGGCTTAAAAGTTGCTGGAAATTCTGGGAGTTGAAGTCTCCAGGCTTAAAGTTGCTGGGAATTCTGGTAGTTGAAGTCCTCCAGGCTTAAAGTTGCTGGGGAATTCTAGTTGAAGTCCTCCAGGCTTAAGTTGCAATTCTGGAGTTGAAGTCCTCCAGGCTTAAAGTTGCTGGAGAATTCTGGGAGTTGAAGTCCTCCAGGCTTAAAGTTGCTGGGGAATTCTGGGAGTTGAAGTCCTCCAGGCTTAAAGTTGCTGAGGAATTCTGGGAGTTGAAGTCCTCCAGGCTTAAAGATGCTGGGGAATTCTGGGAGTTGAAGTCCTCCAGGCTTAAAGTTGCTGGGGAATTCTGGGAGTTGAAGTCCTCCAGGCTTAAAGTTGCTGGGGAATTCTGGGAGTTGAAGTCCTCCAGGCTTAAAAGTTGCTGGGGAATTCTGGGAGTTGAAGTCCTCCAGGCTTAAAAGTTGCTGGGGAATTCTGGGATTGAAGTCCTCCAGGCTTAAAGTTGCTGGGGAATTCTGGGAGTTGAAAGTCCTCCAGGCTTAAAAGTTGCTGGGGAATTCTGGGAGTTGAAATCCTCCAGGCTTAAAGTTGCCAAGGTTGGAGACCCCTGCTCTAGTCTACAGTACAAAGGTGTCCAATCTTGGGCGACTTTAAGGCTTGCGGACTTCCAACTCCCAGAATTGGAAGTCCCCAAATTCAAACCTACTCTGAATGGATCCTGCCCTGGGAAAGAGGTGGGAGTAGATGACCTCTACGGACCCTCCCAACTCTCTACACTTCCCCTCCCCAGAATAAGCTGACCGAGTCCAGCCCAAGACCAGTGCCCTCTTCCTCTCCCCCTCCCCCAAACGCCCCTTCCCCTCACGATCGCCTGGCCAGCCCCTACCCACCCCGTCCCTTCTTCCTAAATCCGTGTCCCTCGAGGCCGGGGCATCCCTTCCCACGGGTGTGTGTTGTTTTTTGTGTGTGTGTATATACACTGCTCCAAAAAAATAAAGGGAAGACAAGCAGAAGACATCCGAGATCTGAATGCATGAAATAGCCTTATTAAATACTTTGTTCGTTACATACAGTAGTTTTGTGTTCCCTTTAGTTTGTTTGAGCAGTGTATAAACTACTGTATGTAATGAACGAAGTATTTAATAAGGCTATTTCATGCATTCAGATCTCGGATGTCTTCTGCTTGTGTTCCCTTTATTTTTTTGAGCAATATATATATATGTGTGTGTGTGTGTGTGTGTGTGTGTACACTACTCAAAAAAAATAAAGGGAACACAAGCAGAAGACATCTGAGATCTGAATGAATGAAATAGCCTTATTAAATACTTTGTTCGTTACATACAGTAGTTTTGTGTTCCCTTTAGTTGTTTGAGCAGTGTATAAACTACTGTATGTAATGAACAAAGTATTTAATAAGGCTATTTCATGCATTCAGATCTCGGATGTCTTCTGCTTGTGTTCCCTTTATTTTTTTGAGCAGTGTATATATATACACTGATATATATATATATACACACACACACACACACACACACTGCTCAAAAATGTGTGTGTGTGTGTGTGTAGCTCGAGCTGCATTTCAAACCCTCGGCCGCTAGGCTGGGAAAAAGGAGGAAAAAAAAAAAGGAAAAGAAAAGAAGGGAGGGGAAAAAAGCGAGGGGAGACCCAGCCAGCCCGGCCTTCCTTAATACGTTCCGCTCCGGTGTGATTTGCAACGGGGGGGGCTCCCGAGCATGGCAGCCACCACCACCGCCGCCGCCGTCGCTTTCGCCTTCCTCCCGGCCTGAAGGACCGGATCGTCTCCGGCAACCGGCGGGGGAGCCTTTCGGACGGAGGACGGAGTAAAGAGGACGGGGGCCAACTTGAGCAAACTAACGTAGGTGGCTTACAGGGAGCGGTGGGTTCCTCCCGAGATCGGCGGCGTCCCATCCCCGCTGCCTGCTTCTGCTGCTGCTGCTGCTTCTTCTTCTTCTTCCGAGGGGCCGAGCCGGGGCTGGAAGCCCTCAGCCGCTTGGCTTTTGTGCGCTTTCCCGGCTCCGCCGATCGCGCCGCCGCGCCCGCCCCCCTCGTTCGCCTGCTGCGCACCCGCCGAGCCCACGCGGGGAAGGCTCCGGAGCGGCCTTTTCGGAGTCAAGCCTTTCCCTTAACCGGGGCTCGGCTTCTCAGTTCTCCCCGCAATTTGGAAGAGAAGGGCCGGGAGGCGGAGGGGCTGGGACCGCTTCCCCCCCCCCCACAACCCCCGGGTTGGCTCCTGCGCTAAGCTGCTAAAAAAAGGAGGAAAAGCCCGGGTGGGCGAGCGCACACCTGAAGCGCCGGAGGTGGGGAGGCTTTGGCTGGATAAATGACAGAATCACAGAATTGGAGAAGGGCCTTTGGAGGTCCTCTAGTCCAACCCCACCCAGCCACCCCCGGCTCAAGAGTGGGCGGGAGACAGGCTGGCGTCCCGGTGGGTTTTTCCCTGCGGCTGCTTCGGATCCGACGTCTGGCTCGGAAAGCGTCCGTGGAAAGGTGGAGTGGGGAAGACAGGGCTTCCATCCCCTCAGGACTGGTAGTCCTTGACTTGCGACCACAGTTGAGTCCCAAGGTTTCTGTTGCTAAGGGAGACAGTTGTTAAGGGAACTTTGTCCCCCCTTTTTGGCGACCTTTCTGGCTAATCACCTCAGCGGGTCAACTTAGTAATGGAGTTATGTGAAGTACATTTATTTATTTTTTATTATTATTATTATTATTATTATTATTATTATTATTATTATTATTATTATTATTATTATTACTATTACTATTATTACTATTATTACTATTACTATTATTACTATTATTTTATTTGATTTATATGCCGCCCTTCTCCGGAGACTCGGGGCGGCTTACAGTGCGTTAAGCAATAGCCTTCATACTTTTGTATATTTTTATACAAAGTCATTTTATTGCCCCCATAATCTGGGTCCTCACTTTACCTACCTTAGAAAGGATGGAAGGCTGAGTCAACCTTGAGCCTGGTGAGATTTGAACTTGCAGTAATTGCAGGCAGCTGATATTAATAACAGTGCTTTAGTCTGCTGCGCTACCAGGGCTCCTTTATTATTATTATTTATTAATTATATGTGTATGCCGCTCCTCTCCAAAGATTCAGGGCGGTTCACAATGCATTTAAAATCATTATAAAAAATATTTAAATATTAAAAACATTAAAACTCATTCACACCATTCATGGCCAGATCTCGCTGGATCGCAAGAGCGAGATCAACGGCCCCAGGCCTGCCGGAAAAACCAGGTCTTCACTGCTTTTTGGAAGGCCAATAGGGTGGGGATGGTCCAGACCTCAGGAGGTAACTGGTTCCAGAGAGCTGGGGCAGCCCCAGAGAAGGCCCTCCCCCGCGGGCCCGCCAGCCGGCATTGTTTAGCTGACGGGACTTGGAGGAGACCAACTCTGTGGGATCTTACCGGTCGTTGGGAGTTATGGGGTAGAAGGTGGTCTCGAAGATAACCTGGCCCTGAGCATGTGGCCGTTGTAACTTCAACTGGTCACTAAATGAGCGCTTGTAAGTAGGGAACTACCTGTAGTTCAGGAAGATGTGGAAGACATCCAGCAGCCACTATATCAGTGATGGCTAACCTTTTTGCCATCGCGTGCCAAAAGCAGGGGGAGTGTGGGGGGCGGGGCACGTGCAGGCGTGCCCACACCCATAATTCAATGTGCCCCACCCCCCGCACCTGTGACCCCCCCCGCACTCCCCCCGCTTTTGGCATGCGATGGTACGGTGGGCCAAATAGGCCTGTTTTTTTGCCCTCCCCAGGCTCCAGAGGCTTTCTTGGAGCCTGGGGAGGATGAAAATGGCCTTCCCCAGCCCCCCGGAGGCCCTCCAGATGCTGGAAACAGCCCATTTCCCGACTTCCAGCGGGCCCGGAAGGCCAGAAAATTAGCTGGCTGCCACACGCATGTGCGCTGGAGCTGAGCTAGGGCAATGCTCGCGTGTCCACAGATATTTATTTATTTATTTATTTATTTATTTATTTATTTATTTATTTATTGAATTTCTATACCGCCCTTCTCCCGAAGGACTCAGGGCGGTGAACAGATTAAGATTTCATATACATATAATAATTTTTTTTTTTATAAACAGTAAATAATAAATTGAGTCAACTTGGTGTATCTGCTAAGACCTTGGCATAGAATTTAGATGCTTATGCTAGCCCTGCTTGTTGAAACAGAAAGGTCTTCAGGGCACGTCGGAAAGTGCGAAGATCTGGGATTATTCATATTCCAGGGGATATTTTGTTCCAAAGAGTAGGTGCCCCCACAGAGAAGGCTCTCTACCTTGGAACTACTAGATGACATTGTTTTAATGATGGTACTATGAGTAGGCCTACTCTGTGAGAGCGTATTGGTTGGTGGGAAGTTATCGGTTGCAGCAGGTATGGCTCTGTGTGCCACCTGTGGCACGCGTGCCATAGGTTCGCCATCACGTCACTATATCCTTCCATTCTTCCATCCCACATCATCCCCTTTTTAACAGCTGAGTGTTACCTAATCCATACAACACCCCTGCAAAGTAGGCCTGCGGGATTATTCCTAGATCACTGACGGCTCAGTTGAGGGCAGTAAATAACAATTCAAATACTTGTTAACCAGGTGGCAATGTTTGTTTGTGTTTATTTATAGAATTTAAATAGCTGCCCATTCTGATCTTGTGACTGTTCATAAGGCAAAACCTAAACATGAAATAATAGAACGTTACAGGTAATCCCCAGTTTAGGACCAGTGCGATCAGAACTTGCTAGATGAGGTGGCTGTTAAGTGAGTCGCACCCAATTTTGTGACCTTTTTTTGCCACCGTTGTTAAATGATTGGCATGGTCATTAAGCAAATCCGCCTTCCCCATTAACTTGTCAAAAGCCAGTTGGGAAGGTCACATGATTGTCACATGACCCCCAGAACACCATAAGTATTATAAATACATGCGGTTGCCTAGTGCCCTAATTTTGATCACAGGAAATCTTGCCATGATTGTTAGTGGGAGGACCGATCATAAATCACATTTTTAATGCTGTCATACAGCGGTGGGATTCAAATTTTTTTACTACGGGTTCTGTGGGCGTGGCTTGGTAGGTGTGGCAGGGGAAGGATACTGTAAAATCTCCATTCCCACCCCACTCCAGGGAAAGGTTACTGCAAAATCCCCATTTCTTCCCCACTCCAGGGAAAGGTTACTACAAAATCCCCATTTCCTCCCGATCAGCTGGGACTCGGGAGGCAGAGAATAGATGGGGGGGTGGGGTGGCCGGTTCTCCAAACTACTCAAAATTTCCGCTACTGGTTCTCCAGAACTGGTCAGAACCTGCTGAATGCCACCTCTGCTGTCATAAATGGTTATACGTTGAAAACTACCTGTGCAACCAAGCTAAGGGGGGGGGTCTGAAAACCAGAATCCCATCAAACCATACAGGTGAGAGTCTGCCAAGATCTCAGCCCTTGTGCCAGAAAAAGGAGCCAAGTTTTTCAAGGCTTTTTGGGAAGCTAATGGGGTTGAGATCTCAGATTTGTCAACTTGAGTGCTTGCAAGTTTTGATTTCGTTTCTTGGCAACGAACTTGTCACCCTCTCGTCTGATGAAGTCAATGCAGCCTTTTGTAGCCCTGTGCTGAGATCCAGATTCAAAGGGGATTCGGTGTTTGTGGGTGTCTGTGTAACATCTGCTGCTAACAAAGCTCATCTGTTTGTGGGCTCCTGCAGGAAAACATGTGTTTGAGTTACCTGGAAGGCCAACAGGTGGGATATGCATGTCCATACCTGCTCCAGATTGACTTTTCTCCTTCAAACTGGATCTCCACCCAGGACTAGTAATTTTAAGCAGCTCTTTCAGGATCATCCAGGGATCTTCTCAATCCCATCGGCCTACCTGATCTGTTTGTCTTCCTTTCCAAATCCTTCAACATCACCAATTCCAGTTGCTTTTTCAAGTTCAGAATCTACTTGTAACACATGCCCAAAGTATATGAGCTTCTACTGCTGATGGTTGCCTCAGGGACCCATCAGGCTCCACAGCAGGAGTGAAATGTTCCTGGTTCGGACCGGATCGCCCTATTCGGTAGCAATGGCGGTGGGTGGTTCAGACAACCCGTAGCAAAAATCCCTCCCCCCACATGCCCTGCTGAGCCGTGCGATCATCAGAAGCTTATTTTTATTTATTTTTTTACTTTTAAAAGCATTTTTTCTTTGGCCAAAAAAATGCTTTTAAAAGAAAACAAAAACCTCTGACGATCGGGCAGCTCAGCTGGGATCATCAGAGCCTTTTAAAAGCATTTTTTTACGTTGTAGAAAAAATGCTTTTAAAAGTAAAAAAAAAAAGAATTGGCCACGCCCACCCAGTCATCCCACCAAGCCACGCCCACAGAACCGGTAGTAACAAATTTTACATTTCACTACCGCCCCACAGATAGTCCTTGATTTACAATCATCCTTTTAGCCACTGTTCGAAGTTCTGGCAGCACTGGAAAAAAAGTGATATTTACAACTGATCCTCGCATTTATGACCATTGCAGTATCCCCCACGGTATATATGATGAAAATTCAGCACTGGGCAACCAGCATGTATTTAGGATGGTTGTAGCATTCTGGGGTCATATAATCTTCTCAGCCAGCTTCCAACAATAGCAATAGCACTTACCGTATTTTTCAGGGTATAAGACGCACCGGAGTATAAGACGCACCAAATTTTTGAAGAGAAAAACAAGAAAAAAAAAAGTTTTTGGCCTCCGCGCATCCGGTTTTGCCCTCCCCGGCCCCCTGGTTTTTCACAAAAATGGGATGCGTAGAGGGTTTGGGAGGCCTGCAGAGTGTTCCCGGGGGCTGGAGAAGGTAAAAACACGATGTGTGTGG